TTACCTCAGCTATCATTTTAAGGCTAATTGGCATGGATGAAAAATGGTGTCTGACGTGATAAAAGCTTCCACTATGTCAGTGAACTTAGTAGAAATACTACTAATTATCTTGAGTTATTTTTAACTAGAATTCTGATTATTGTCTCACTATAACTGTGTTGTAGCCACCAGACTTTTGGCATGTTTTAGTATTTGGTACCAACATTTTAATGATTTGGTATGATCACAGAGAAAAACCTGAGATATTTCTTATTACTACAATAAATAAATTTGTGTACGATTTACATAGCATCTTTCACTTTCATCTGATTGAACTTTTTCTTCTTAGTCACCAGGCAGGATATTCTTACTCCTCTAGACACCTGATATTACATTTCATAATAAAATATTTCTTCATTTATAATTGATATCCTTCCTCATGTGAATAGTTCATTGACTGCTACCAATGTTTTGTCAATTCGTTAGTTTGGATTCTGGGTTTCGTTTTGCGTTTCACATCATAATAACTTAGGTTTTATAATAAAATATTTTCACTGTTAAAATAGTGCTCAATACATCAATTATAGAGAGATATAGAAATATTAAAACAGAACCTAAAAAAACATGTTGTTACTCAGAGTTTCATGCTAGGCGATCTTCAGACAACTGACCTACTTTCAGCCTGTGTTCCTACTGAAGTTGGATGAGTAGAACTTAATCTCATGTCTATACTTTGAGACGAGTTTCAATCTGAGGTTTTATTAAAGTGCATCTCTGTTTGTCTGATTTTTTGCTTTTTCTTTACTCTTCACTTCTCCCTAAATTTATAGTTAACTTGAACCCTGGCCATTATTACAATGTATCACTGACAGGGAAATACTGTCTTAAATTCATAGTAGGTCTTAGAATGAATATAAAATTTAAGTTCTCAAGAATGGTCAATATGAGTATATATTCATCAGTGAACTTACCTGGTGTCATAAAGTTACAACAGAATCCCCGTAAAATATAGAAAATTGGAAAATTCATAAAACTAAGTCATTATTGAAAAACGCTTAATCATAATATTAATTTTTTTTTAATAGTTAATTAAATTTTTATTAAGTTTTTTGGATTTATCAGATTATAAAAGGATCCTGTTATGTTATTTATGGTATCAGGTATATCTACTGATGAATAAATACTCTTATTGACCAAACCTTACACCAGAATCAGGAAACATCCATATGTTTCAAATTAAATCTACTATCAATACAAAATTAACATTACAAGATATGTGAAGTCTCTGAAATTTAAGATGATTCTCTGAAGGCTATGACCTGAATGTGACCTCCAAGATAAAATATATAAAGTAATTGAGAATTGGATAGAATGTAATGGAAACATATGATAGATTTAAATTTTAAACTCATATTATTTTATAGCATAACAAAATAGATTTAAAGTGAATGTTATTCTTCTATGAGATTCTAAAACCTGTATATATTTAACAGTAATTTCAGGGTTGGCACCAGGCAGGGTATACTTACTCTTCTAGACACCTGATACCACTTTTCATAATGAATTCTTCCTCATCTATGATTGATATATTTACTCAAGTGAAAAGTATTGCCAATATGTTGTTTTTCATTTTGTAGTTTGTATCGTCAGTACTTGTTTTTTTATATTCAATCTGTGAAGACGAGCATGCTTCCCCTTCTGGAACACCTGATGTCAGTTTGTCAACAAAATACACATTGTTATTTGGTTCTATGTTAAAGTAAACATGCACTTTGTGTTTTTTCAAGTGCACTATAACAATAGTACTGGTATATTATTACTGTATATAGTTTGTCACTGTGAATACTGTAGATAATATAACTGCTATGGTATTAGTAACTAGGTGTAGCTAGTAAACTTCTATAGAAATAACAGAGATAAAGTGCCACCTTTAAAACTGTATATATATATATATATCTTGTTATCATCTATTAGAATTATTAATTGTAGTGCTTGCAGGTTATTTATTAAGCAAGATAGTCTTACTGTAAAGACAATATCAAAATATTATCTATAATTCCACAGATTATTATGATAATTTCTTGTGATTAGAATGTAGTCATAAAAGCACTGGCCTAGGTCACAAAGTAAAGACTCATGCTAAAACAAAGTGCAAAAGTTTAGAAATATTAAGTCAATTGTGGGTGTGTCACTTTAACCTAAACATATGTACAGTGTATTATTATGTTGGTTCCTATATGGGCATCCCACTTTAAAACTATATATTTAATCCATTACTAAAATAATTTGTAAATGGGTGTGCCACTTTAAAAACAGTAGGTACACAGCTGGTGGATGTTTTTGTACTGACTGACCTAGTAATGTTAATAACAGAATGAGATGCTGTCTTGTACACATTGGTTACTCATTGAGAGTGGAATTACAGCCTTCCATTAACATACCATAGTTGAAATCTATTTTGTAGACAATATCTATTAATGTCTCATCTTAATTTTACAAGAGGTAGTGAGTCTTCTATTTATAACCCTTAATCCATGAAGAGTTGTTTTTAGAGTTGTTGTGGGTATCAGTGTATAAAGAGACAGAGATAAATTTGAGGGGTAGTACATCCACACTATATTTAAAGCTTGTGCTATTTACATGTTGTATGATTCTGTAGTCAGTAACTTCAGTAGTATTCAGTGATATAGTCATCTAAATATTTACATTATAAACTGATAGAGAGCTATTCATGTTACTTTCTATAATTTATATCTGACTAGTCAACAAAATCATTGTATACATTCACTAAATTATAATCTTTTAGTTCTTTATATTTATTTAGATGACTGTATCCCTATAAAGAAATGGAGATATTTATTAAAGAACTGTTATATAGTATGATTAATGTTAATATTCCCTAGTTGATGGATATTAAGAATATTCTGTATAAGTGGTACCAGGTGTTTGGTTGAAACCTTTTGTTCTTATTAGGCTTGATAAGTTATATTCATTCTTTTTTTATATCAAAAGAATAGAACAGTTTGACAAATTTAGAAAGTTTTCTCTCTCCACGTTGGCTTAATTAGGTATTGAATTTCAATCAGGTCTCCAATATACAGAGAATCAATAACCGACTAGAATTACCAATAAATTCTCTCGAGACATGCATTTGTCTAGTGTGAAACGAGGCAACTTCCTTCAGTATTGCTGACATCAGCACTCGATATCAGTCAGTGAACTTGATTTACATTTAAAGGGTAATATTTCTATATGAACAGTTGACAGCTAGACAGAGGATGTTCACACTTCTAGTTCATTGAGTTACCTCATTGTCCAAATTTATATAAAATAACTGTCTCTAAGTCCTAAGCTAGTAGGCAATGTCTTTCAACCCAACAAAAATGCTTGATGCTATGTGTTATTGTTTCTGCAGACCCCCTTATCTTTTTGTTTAGTATTACAACAGACTATAGGATATATAATGTTACAAATCTCACTCTAGAATCTTATCGTTTATCCTGGGTAATTAGTATTATAGAGAGATTAATTATTAGTCATTAAGTGTAAATCAGTCACACCTTATAAAACAAACATGGTCTGTAAGTATCAGCATCTGCTGGTAGTGACCATTAACTTGTCGCCTTCCAACTAACCATCACTGAAGAGTTGTTCTGTGTGAAGTCTCAGTTATCCAGTAGCTATTTAACAGCAGGTTGTTTGTCCAACAAGTTAAATGATAATTAGGATTATTGAGTTAGAGTTAAATGGTGGTCATTAGATTACCTCTAATCACTTTCTAATACAACTATAACAGATTACTGTAGATATGGTTGGTAGTTAACAGTATTAGCAGTGTGAACTCTCTGAAATGGATTCAGAGTTGACAAAGCCAAATACCAATTTAACATTATTAGGTTTCTGGACTAAATAGCAAATACACATGTTGACTGAGAGAACATGAAATATTTAACAAGTATATTCTTGGACCCCATGGACATCTAAATTATGCTGAGTTTAGAAGACAAGAATTATGTATATTGTTTAGAAGACAAGAATTATGTATATTGTTTAGAAGACAAGAATTATGTATATTATGCGACAAAGTAAAAAGATTTTGATTTTTTCCGGTATTTGTAAGAGAATTGGAATAGCAGTTTGAAAATAGTACTGTTAGTTTTAGAATATCTTCGTGTTGATAAAAATATAAACATAAGTGCACTTTATTTCTTCAAAATTTGTTTTTACAGAAGAAAATTTTCAGCCAAAATTGAAAAAAACTTCAAATTGGAATTCAAATTTTTGCATTTCTGGAGTAACAGTCACAGCAGATGTCAGGCTGGAAATAGTGCAAATAGATGTCACAAAGGTCTCTGATACACGTACAATAGTAAGAAACTTATTTTGGACTACATTTAAAAGCGAATTATACATGCAATATTTGAATTCTGCTGACTGAAAAATCTTGTGGTATGGTAATCAAGAAATTATTGATTCAATTCTTGACTTCTGCTAGAAATATGGAAAATTCTTAACGTGAAAGATCTGTCTTCTTATTACAATCACTCGGTACAGAGTTGAATTGTCGTCTGCCATTTAGGATGAGGTCGAAGTTAGGATGGTTGAAAATTCTAAATAAAACCTCAATATTGAGATGATAAACATTCTTTGTCCTATTCCATGGCCATTGTTTCTTTTGATTTGTTTTGAAGAAATGGTAGTTATGGTTTGTAAAGGATGATAACATACATTTTGTTATTTTATCAAAGAAAAGGGGAGGGTATAGGCTAAGAACTGTTTTATCAAGAGTATTAGCTCAGGTTTATATTAGCTCAGGTTTATATTACCTTAAGTTCATAGTAGCTCAGGTTTATATTAGCTAGTAGCTCAGGTTTATAGTAGCTAGTAGCTCAGGTTTATAGTAGCTAGTAGCTCAGGTTTATAGTAGCTCAAGTTTATAGTAGCTCAGGTTTATAGTAGCTCAAGTTTATAGTAGCTCAGGTTTATAGTAGCTCAGGTTTATATTAGCTAGTAGCTCAGGTTTATAGTAGCTCAGGTTTATAGTAGCTCTTGTACTTGTTTGTAAGAAAAGAAAGATTGAAAGGTTTAGTTGGTTTGTCTGTAAGAAAAGATAGATTGAAAGGTTTAGTTGGTTTGTCTGTGAGAAAAGATAGATTGAAAGGTTTAGTTGGTTTGTTTGTAAGAAAAGATAGATTGAAAGGTTTAGTTGGTTTGTTTGTAAGAAAAGATAGATTGAAAGGTTTAGTTGGTTTGTCTGTAAGAAAAGATAGATTGAAAGGTTTAGTTGGTTTGTCTGTAAGAAAAGATAGATTGAAAGGTTTAGTTGGTTTGTCTGTAAGAAAAGATAGATTGAAAGGTTTTGTTAGTTTGTTTGTAAGAAAAGAAAGATTGAAAGGTTTAGTTGGTTTGTCTGTAAGAAAAGATAGATTGAAAGGTTTAGTTGTTTTGTTTGTAAGAAAAGATAGATTGAAAGGTTTGGTTGGTTTGTCTGTAAGAAAAGATAGATTGAAAGGTTTAGTTGGTTTGTCTGTAAGAAAAGATAGATTGAAAGGTTTAGTTGGTTTGTTTGTAAGAAAAGATAGATTGAAAGGTTTAGTTGGTTTGTTTGTAAGAAAAGATAGATTGAAAGGTTTAGTTGGTTTGTCTGTAAGAAAAGATAGATTGAAAGGTTTAGTTGGTTTGTTTGTAAGAAAAGAAAGATTGAAAGGTTTAGTTGGTTTGTCTGTAAGAAAAGATAGATTGAAAGGTTTAGTTGGTTTGTTTGTAAGAAAAGATAGATTGAAAGGCTTTGTTGGTTTGTCTGTAAGAAAAGATAGATTGAAAGGTTTAGTTGGTTTGTCTGTAAGAAAAGATAGATTGAAAGGTTTAGTTGGTTTGTTTGTAAGAAAAGATAGATTGAAAGGTTTGGTTGGTTTGTTTGTAAGAAAAGATAGATTGAAAGGTTTAGTTGGTTTGTCTGTAAGAAAAGATAGATTGAAAGTTTTAAGGAAGACAATCCCCCTGATTTAGTTTCGATCAACAACAATGACCTAAGAAAAATTGGAGTAAGATGAGAGAATGATATAAGCCCTAGTTAACGGATAAATTGATTTACTGAGTTGAGGATAGAAATTTCGTCTTGTTTCATGCTACACTTCGCTATTCCTTCATTGACTTTCATCAGCACCAATCAATTTTCAATATTGACAAAGGTATGGAGATCAGGTAGTGGTCCTACGTGGTATATCTTTATATATTAAATTATTTTGATGAACTTGTCACTTGAAGATATTTATTATCAATTATATTTTGGACTATAAAATAAGAGAATCATTTCTGTTATAATGTGTAAAAACTCTACTCAGTCGTCACTACTGTAACTTTACTCAGTCGTCACTACTGTAACTTTACACAGTCGTCACTACTGTAACTTAACACAGTCGTCACTACTGTAACTTTACACAGTCGTCACTACTGTAACTTTACACAGTCGTCACTACTGTAACTTTACACAGTCGTCACTACTGTAACTTTACACAGTCGTCACTACTGTAACTCTACTCAGTCGTCACTACTGTAACTTTACACAGTCGTCACTACTGTAACTCTACACAGTCGTCACTACTGTAACTTTACACAGTCGTCACTACTGTAACTTTACACAGTCGTCACTACTGTAACTTTACACAGTCGTCACTACTGTAACTCTACTCAGTCGTCACTACTGTAACTTTACACAGTCGTCACTACTGTAACTTTACACAGTCGTCACTACTGTAACTTTACACAGTCGTCACTACTGTAACTTAACACAGTCGTCACTACTGTAACTTTACTCAGTCGTCACTACTGTAACTTTACTCAGTCGTCACTACTGTAACTTTACTATGTTTTACAAAAGAAAACCATTTTAAGAATTATTTTTTTAAATGAATTTATATATCAATTTTTAATGTAAATGATGTTAAGTACTGTATAATCAAATATTCTTTCCAAAATGCAAATGAAAATATCAGTAACAAAGTTCTATATATAGTGTCAATTTTCCATTTTAAATAACCCAGAATTCAAAGCTCAGAACCAACAAATTGAAAGTTTTAGGCCATTTCTGCTAGAAGGTGTGCAGACAATATTCCCAAATCAGGGGAAATCTGGAAATGGAAGTGAAATTTCTAGTTTGAGCTCTATTTGAAGGGAATTTCGTACAATTCTTTTGACATTAAGACTATTTTTGATCTTTAATGAAATAGAGAATATAGAATCTAAATAAGATGTTTTGATAATCAGACATTTCTAGTCACCAGCTGGTAAATCTAGTCTAGCCTAGCCAGGTGATTGAATTTCAACATAACCCTCAACTCTTTTCAGTCTGTGTAATTAAAGAAGTCAAATAAACTCAATTCCCAAAGTTTATTTCCCACAGTAGATGATGTCAACATTTAGAGACGTACTTAGTATGGGCTGTCTCTAGAGATGTACTTAGTATGGGCTGTCTCATAGTGATGTACTTAGTATGGGCTGCCTCATAGTGATGTACTTAGTATGGGCTGCCTCATAGTGATGTACTTAGTATGGACTGCCTCTAGTGATGTACTTAGTATGGGCTGCCTCTAGTGATGTACTAAGTATGGGCTGCCTCTAGTGATGTACTTAGTATGGGCTGCCTCATAGTGATGTACTTAGTATGGACTGTCTCATAAGGTTGTACTTAGTATGGGCTGCCTCATAGTGATGTACTTAGTATGGGCTGCCTTTAGTGATGTACTTGGTTATGGCTGCCTCTAGTGATGTACTTAGTAAGGGCTGCCTCTAGTGATGTACTTAGTAAGGTCTGCCTCATAGTGATGTACTTAGTATGGGCTGTCTCATAGTGATGTACTCACTATGGGCTGCCTCTAGTGATGTACTTATTATGGGCTGTCTCTAGTGATGTACTTAGTATGGGCTGCCTCTAGTGATGTACTTAGTATGGGCTGCCCCTAGTGATGTACTTAGTATGGACTGCCTCTAGTGATGTACTTAGTATGGGCTGCCTCTAGTGATGTACTTAGTATGGACTGCCTCTAGTGATGTACTTAGTATGGGCTGCCTCTAGTGATGTACTTAGTATGGACTGCCTCTAGTGATGTACTTAGTATGGGCTGCCTCTAGTGATGTACTTAGTATGGGCTGTCTCATAGTGATGTACTTAGTATGGGCTGTCTCATAGTGATGTACTTAGTATGGGCTGCCTCATAGTGATGTACTTAGTATGGGCTGCCTCTGGTGATGTACTTAGTAAGGGCTGCCTCTAGTGATGTACTTAGTAAGGGCTGTCTCATAGTGATGTACTTAGTATGGGCTGCCTCATAGTGATGTACTTAGTATGGGCTGCCTCTAGTGATGTACTTAGTAAGGGCTGTCTCATAGTGATGTACTTAGTATGGGCTGCCTCATAGTGATGTACTTAGTATGGGCTGCCTCTAGTGATGTACTTAGTATGGGCTGCCTCTGGTGATGTACTTAGTAAGGGCTGCCTCTAGTGATGTACTTAGTATGGGCTGCCTCTGGTGATGTACTTAGTAAGAGCTTCCTCTAGTGATGTACTTAGTATGAGCTTCCTCTAGTGATGTACTTAGTATGGGCTGCCTCTAGTGATGTACTTAGTATCGGCTGCCTCTAGTGATGTACTTAGTATGGGCTTCCTCTAGTGATGTACTTAGTATGGGCTGTCTCATAGTGATGTACTTAGTATGGGCTGCCTCTAGTGATATACTTAGTATGGGCTGCCTCTAGTGATGTACTTAGTATGGGCTGCCTCTAGTGATGTGTACCTATTATGGGCTTCCTCTAGTGATGTACTTAGTATGGGCTGTCTCATAGTGATGTACTTAGTATGGGCTGCCTCTAGTGATGTACTTAGTATGGGCTGCCTCTAGTGATGTACTTAGTATGGGCTGCCTCTAGTGATGTACTTAGTTTGGGCTTCCTCTAGTGATGTACTTAGTATGGGCTGTCTCATAGTGATGTACTAAGTATGGGCTGCCTCTAGTGATGTACTTAGTATGGGCTGCCTCTAGTGATGTGTACCTATTATGGGCTTCCTCTAGTGATGTACTTAGTATGGGCTGCCTCTAGTGATGTGTACCTATTATGGGCTTCCTCTAGTGATGTACTTAGTAAGGGCTGCCTCATAATGGAATGGATATTTTATTTACAGATATTTTGCAATTTAGCTATGTGGACTCTCTGAAAACAAAGTCCAATGTAATTATATAATTATTATTATAAGCAAGTCTATACCAGTTAATTATTTTCTCTGTTTGTTATTTCAGATGGAAACTATAGTGGAAAGAATGCAGGATGAACATACAGGAGTTCCTGTTAGAACTGTCAAAAGTTTTATGACCAAAGTGCCAAGTGTTTTCACAGGTGAGTACATCAACTTGTTTGTTTAGGTGTTAATAGGTAGGTAGCTGCTGACCTAACTACTAGTCTTGAGTATTCAGTGCTGACAATGATGTGATTTGTAAAGTTATAAATAGCCTAATGCAGAAGGGCCTACATTTATAAGAAGTTAAGGCTTCCCTTGTACCTTGAAATCCATGTATTCTATTAGATTATTTTATATTATTATTATAGGGAAATAAAGGTATTAAAATATTTGTATTGAAATTAATAAATATATAATTTTCATATCCTACAACTTTTTAAATGAATCTCAACAAAACTGAGGACAATTAACAAATGTTGAAAGGATCTTATTCAAATTTCAGAATTTACTTGGAAGGTTCCTTTTATTATACGTCCACATCTCTCTATGTTTATTGTCGGCACCCCTGTCGGTCCGTCTGTCGGTCCGTCCATCAACATTTGCTTGTAAACGCTCTAAGATTTTTTGATGAAATCAAATGAAATTCGGTATGTGTATACATATTCATAAAATGAAGATCAAGTTCGAATTTGAGCTATTTTCAACCGTTAGAAGCAGAGTTATTGCCCTTGCCTCAAAATCTTGAATATTTACCACAAGCCGTGGTGGACGTATATGGCTGTGGTCTACTATCTTTCAATTAAGTAATTGTAGACAAATCATGAGCTAAATTTGTCTTGTGATATGTAATACAGGTAGATAGATATAAATTTAAGGGCGAGTGAAATAAAGCAGATTGATACTTAATGAATAATGATTCTGACTTTGAATTTTCCTTCTAAAAAGTGTTACAGGTCTAAAATAAAGATAGTTTGATGACTTGATTCCTGTAATAACAGACACTGGTATGACCTAATATTAAAATGAGAAACACACGTCCAACACTCAGTAATATTACAGATTCTCTTTTAATTGGTTGGCTCGTTAAATTGAACGAGGATTTTAGAAGTTTTTATGAGAAATAATTAGTTGAAAGATCTGAGTTTGGGGGATGAATGTTGTAAATTTTGAAGAGAAAATAAAAAAGTTGGCAGAAATTCAAGATGGAAGTTAAGATGAATTGTTCCAATATGGTGGAAATTTATTCAAACTGATTTTAAAAAGGGTTTATGATGGTTTAAGATCTATCTATTGTTGCTCACAGCTTTATTTAGATTGCAATTTAAAGAATAATTGAAAAAAATAACTAATTTTATAGAGATGTAGGTTTATCTATTGGAATAAAACAGAGGTATTGTTTAAGAAATGCCAGTTTTATCACAGAGTAAATTGAGTGTAACTAGAATGATAAATCTGTCATACTACAGTAATTTACATGTTATAACAGTGAAATATGTACATAAAACTAGAAAAGTAAAGGGTAATAGAGATTACAAATACCAAATATACATGTCTGTATATATTCATATTAAACATATTACACTTACTAATATATAATCTTAAAGAGATTGTATACAGGTTTTCTACATTTTTTATGTCTATCAGGGACACTGATATCATCAATTTTCACCATTCTTATTTTCAGTTTTATATTTGTGGTTCCTGTAATTCCACTAA